TTTGTACTACGTGTGTCTGTGTGTGAGTATTTTCATTGTGTGTGTGTGTGTGTGTGTGTGTGTGTGTGTGTGGTCTAATCCCAGCTAAGTCCATTAATGTGTGTCCGACTGTGATAGCCAGTTGACGCTTAATTGTCATATCCGCCCTTACGGCGGACCCGCGCATGTGTGTGTGTGGGTGTGGGTGTTGGGGGGGTGGTGTAAGGATAAACCGGGCCTCTTCAATTCCACCAGGGAACGTCAGGCGCTTGAACAAAAATCACACCATAAAAAATGCGCGCGCGCAGTGGACGCGTGTATGTGCGCGCACACACACACACTATCGGGCAAATAATTGCGAAGGGACGACAATGATGGCGAGCGAATGTTGTTAACAAATAGAGTTAGCGAGAAAACAATCCCGATGAACGGCTCCAAATACTCGCGAGAAAAGAAAGGCAGCAAAAGCACCACTCGGGATGGGCAAGTATCCATTCCTGCTATCGTTATCGAGTCGATCCCGACCTCATTTGAAGGTACGAGTACTTACGGAGGCTACCGATACCAACCACAGATACTTGAGGTAACAAAAAAAAAAAAAAAAGCCCACATGGAGTAAGTCCTCCGCGGCGGTCGTTTCATTGGTCGGATGCGACGAGACAAGGGTTCAATCTTTTGGCGGCGTGAAGCTTGTCCATAAACATTCGGAAATAGACAGGAGAAGCCGCACGGTTACCGTAAGAGTCGTTTTCAAGAGGCATTAGCTGCGTGTTAGCTTCAAAGTTGATTCAAAGGGACAGAAGCCTTTCATTACCGGACCCCCAACGGGTGACTTGATGCGGTGGCTGCGTGCGGCCTTTCTTGACTCGAAGAAACAGAAGCTGTGCCCTCGAAAGGGTACTACCTCCAAATTCCTTGCATTTTGTTCAAGTGGCCTGACCGAGATGCGATGCGGCGGGTCGGGGCTGCGAGACGATGACGAGGTTGCTGTTCCTGCATAATTACTTCTTGCCGCACTCTCTTTTCTTTTCTTTTCATTTCATTTCCTCTGCCTCTCCTCTCGTCTCTCCTCATTAGGTTTTATCTCTTTGTCACCTCCGTGTTCCTCCTGTTCAGACGCGCTCGTACAAATGAGCCGTGAAATGCTCGCCGTTAAGCTACGCTTGCAAATGTCGGAGCGCCTGTATTTATGAGCTTGCGCGACTTTATGCAGAAGAGCATTTAAGGTCTCGGCCGGATGCGTACGCGGGACTCGCGTGTCTTGCGAGGGATGATCGCACTCTCTGGCCGTCGAGAAATGGCCAAACCGTCGTGTAATATCGCTTTGAGAGAAGAAGACATAGTCGTGCGGTTCTCCACTCAGGAGGACGAGTGTGCTTGTTTCAAGGTGTTCTGTTTTTTTTTCTTTCCTCCGTCACTCACAGTTAAAGTTTAACTGTAAAAGTTTTTAATCCCATTTATTTTTACTTTTCAGGCCATCACATAGAGTGGCAAACATCATCCACAGGTGACCGGAAAATAGCAGCGATGCCACAAAAATGATCAACAAACTGAGCTGCAGCGAGCGGCACTCACTCACACAGGCACAGACCCAATTTCATCCCCCCCCCCCTACACACACACACGCCTCTCTCAGGTTAATACACTCTCACAGCATGACATTCTTGTGCACACATAATCCCACACTGATCTCGCAGCTGAAAATATGTGTCGCGCACGAGGTACATTGCAGTTGCGGAGGCGCATCGCCTGGAAAGAAAAGCGCCTCGTTTCCACGGTACAATTTCGTCGATGAGATGCGGAGGCTCCGGAATGGATGCTGCTGTCATCTTGTCCGGTTTTACAGCTCCGTATTTGGCACGCGCGTGCATATTCCCGGCACGGGGGCGGGCAATTCCCGTGACCGGGGTGGGGGGAGCGGGCGCAGGAACAGCTTTGCTGGCCATATGCTCCCCAAGGTTGACACGGTTCCTCCTAGTGGACGTTTGCATCGCATTTTTTACTGTCACGTGCCGCGGCCGTTTTTACTCTCGGGTCCCGTTCCAAAGCGATCCGCTGGCTTACGCTGTCTCTCATTCGGGTTACGACTGAGCCAGCCAATCACAAGACACATACATGCAGGTTACCTTGATCGCCGTCCCTTATTTATTCTTTTTTTTTTTTTTCTGAAAGTGAAAAGTGGTATGACTACCGCAGCGTCAATGCTAGCCGTGTTAGCCCGTAAGTTAGCGGAGAGACTGTTCAGGCAAAGTTGTTTGAGAAATGCACAAGTTGTCATTCTCTTAGTTTGATGTTTACTTGAACTTAAGCTGGGAGTGGCATGAAATATTGTCAAGTTTCTTTTTGAAGACTTGCTCAGCTTTTGCCAAACTGCTACTTGCTTTGAAATGAATCAAGTTCGCTCAAGTTGGCGCTCGCAAGTCCGAGCAAAAATGAGGGCTCGCGTCAAAAAGAAAAAAAAACCAAAAACCCAAACTCATAATGTGGGTCACTCGTATCTCAAGGCAACCCCCCCTTATACGTATTTTTAAAAATGGATATCGCCACTGTCGGGTGGAAACCCCGCCAGTGTGCTGCTGTGCACCACGATGCTGCCTTAAGATTGAAAATTTTCTGACAGTGGCCAAAGACTTTGGAGTCTCGCAGCCCATCGCATTCCAAACCGGAATAGTTTCGTTTCATGTCATCTGACAAGTGCGTGCGGCGAGACGCGTCGGTTTGAAGTCAACTCCACGGGCGGCTAATTGCCTGTAAAACATTCTCGCTCCTTTATCCTGATCCCGATTTTTGTTTTCTGGCACCAACAGACGAGCCCGAGCCAGCGCTCGGCGCTAACGCGCGGCGCATCAAAGTGCAGCACAAGAAAAGACGAGCGAGTTATTAGACAAGGTTGAGACATCCGACAAGGTGGGAATGTTTGGAGTCAGCGTTCAAGTCACTTTGGATCAGAACTCTTCCAGAAACTTTGTTGCAATGGATTTCGCAAGACATTTTTTTTTTTTTTTTTTTTTTTAGCAAGACGATGCCAAAGCGAGTTCTGCACGTGATACAACAGCGCGGCTTCGTAGTCAAAGAGGGCGGCTACTGGACTGGCCCGCCAGCAGTCCAGACCTGTCTTCCCATTGAAAGCTTGTGGCGCATTATGAAGCGTAACACACGACGGCCGAAGTTGTACGTCTAGCAAGAACGGGGAAAGAATTCCGCCGACAAAGCTTCAACAATTAGTGTCCTGAGTTCCCAAAACTTCGATTGCAAGAAAAAGCGAAGCAACGCGACGGTAAACCTGCCCTGTCCCCGCATTTTGGGAACGTGTTGCGACCATTCATTTCAAAGTTCCGACTCATTTGCGAAAAAGCAATCGAGTGATCACACTTTGAACGTGCAAGATTTTAAATGTAGGTTCAACGCCATTTGCAAATCACTGTATTCCGTTTTTATTTTTGTTTTTGGCACAGCGTTCAGAACTTCATCGGAATTGGCTTTGTGGGTGTGGGGAAAGCCTGCCCAAGTGAGTTTGAAAACAAGGCGAGGACTCGAACGGACGTAAGCGGCTAATGCGGCCATCGCAACGGCGTCATGCTAAGCGGGAATCATGCAAATGGGATGCTTGTGTTTCTAATTGACGGATGCCTTCATTTTGCCGCTTTAATAGAATCACGCCACATAAGTCCTGCCTTAATGTTGCTCCGTCCCACCGAATAATGCCACATAAGTCAGGATTTAATGGAATTACAGTGGCTCACGGGGGGAAAAAAAGGGGGCACTTTCCTGCCATAACGGAGGCAGGACGGCGGCAAATTTGGTGCTTTGTCTCCTGTCCGTCGCATCCGAGCAAGCCAGTGATGAAATTCCACGGTCACCGTTCGCAAGGGGAAGCAAACTTTTGCACTCGCGGGAACTTTTGAAGTTCAAACGTGGACGCGAAATAGTTGATTCGATTTTTCATTCGCATTTTTAATTGCCACTAAAAAGCGCGTGCGTTATGACGCCGTAGAATATGGAGACATGTAGACGGAGTGGATTGCGAGATGTAGCCAGTGTGCGTGCGAGCGCGCGCTCATGAACTCTCGCTCAGGCATTCAGATGGCGGATCAATAGTTGCGATTAAAGGGCCCATTAGCCACGGAGACGTCATTGTTCACTCACATGCAAATGAAAAGCTTCAGGGTGGTCCATATTGATTCCGCATGAGCAAATTCCGCATTTCACGTGAGTTCTGATGAGCGCAGATGGAGCGCACGGCACGACGTGTTTGTGACGTGTCATTTTCCAAATCGGCCGTGGCGCAGAGAGGCCCTGAAAAAAGGAAAGCTTCCGAAATAAAGCGGCAAGAAACCAAGTTTGCTTTGGAAACGTCCAACCCCGAAGTCGTGTTGGTGGCGACGTGGTGGAAACTGCGGCTGCCAGCGGAAGAGGGCAAAAGAAAGGCGGCTGGCCCGTTTTGGCGTGCTCCCTGTCAACGCGAGCTGCAACAACTTTTGAATGCGTTTGCGCTTCTTTCAATATTTCGACACGTGTTCCTATTTCTAGACGGGAGCACGACTTGATTGTCACGATTGGAGCAGCAAGGACAATCGGTTGGGCGTCCGTCTGCTCACCACGAGCGGCGCCGAAGATAAAAATTCAAATCAGAGATCCAAAAGCACACAATTGTTCTATCACAAACGCGGGGGGGGCACTTTTTGTCCACGTTTGGAAACGCATACGGTGACTGCGTGCAATTCGTAACAATGCGCCGTCGTTGTCGTCGTTGCCTTGACTCCCGTTTGTGTCGGTTGACTGTCAGCTGCTGCTTCTTTGTTTTGGTTGTTTTTTTTTTTTTTTTAATCCAAATGTGTGAGTCACCGTCCTTGCAACGTGACTTTTTTGCTCTCCGTTTTTTTTTTTCTTTTTGTTTTGTTCTTTTCCATCACCAGAAAAGCATCCACACGACTCAACATGCGCACACATAAGACGTGACTTGATGCGCGTGTTCGTAACGTTGTTTTTGTGTGTGTGTGTGCGTGTGTGCGTGCGTGCAGGATGAGGGCGCCTCCAGCAGCCTGTACTGCGAGCTGTGCGACAAACAATACGTGCGCCAGCAGCAGTTTGACAACCACATCAACTCCTACGACCATCACCACAAGCAGGTGAGCGAGAGCGAGTGGGCCGCCTTTCTCCTTCCGCCGCCTCCACGTGTCTTTTGTTCCACGCCGGAGACGCAAAAGGCGCTTGCCGAGCTTTTGGACGCCGTGCGACATGTTCAAATGGAGCACTTAACACACCTTGAAGTCCTTTATATCTATCTATTGAAATGTATACTCAAAACAAATCGGTCAGCACATGAATATTTGTTTTGAAAGCAGCAGAATTTCCTTTCAAGACTAAAATGACAATGAATCGTAAATGATGCAATATGCTTTTCAAAAGTCATCATGACTTGGCTTCGATTCTGGCTCCTTCCTGTGTGGAGTTTGCATGTTCTCCCCTTCTTACCCGGCTTTTCTCCGGGTACTCCGGTTCCTCCCACATTCCCAAAACATGCATGGCAGGTTGATTGGGCACTCCAAATTGTCCCACGGTGTGATTGTGATCACGAATGGTTGTGCGTACATGTGTGCCCTGCGATTGGCTGGCAACCGGTTCAGGTTGTCCCCCGACTGCTGCCCCCGAACATAGCTGGGATAGGCTCCGGCACACCCGCTACCCCGTGAGGAGAAGCGGATTAGAAAATGGATGGATGGGTGGATGGACATATTTCCACATTTAAATTGAGTAATTCTAAAATGACAATGAATCGTAAATGATGCAATATGCTTTTCAAAAGTCATCATGACATCATAAGACCAAAAGAAGCTTTGACCCCGACTATGCGTTGTTTGGTCGATGAGCGGCAATATTTGACAGCGCTATAAATAAATCAGCGATGTGCGCCGAGGCTCTTTTGTGTCACGCACGCACGCGTGCGTCAACTCACCTCGTCGGAGTGAAGTGCTTCAAAGTTTGCTTGCGAGTGTTTGTCCTTTGAATCATGTAAAAAAAAAAAAAAAAAAGAATCAAACTTCTCAATTTTATTAGGATTGGCTGCATTATTTATTGAAATTTTGAATCATGTAAAAAAAATAAATAAATCAAACTTATCAATTTTATTAGGATTGGCTGCATTATTTATTGAAATGTATAATCAAAACAAATCGGTCAGCACATGAATATTTGTTTTGAAAGCAGAAGAATTTACGCGTGTGTCAACTCACCTCGTCGGAGTGAAGTGCTTCAAAGTTTGCTTGCGAGTGTTTGTCCCGTCTGTCTGTGTTTGGGTTTGCCGGCACACGATATAAAAAAAAATAATAATAATAAATATATACACATATACACACACACACACACACACACACACACACACACACACACACACACACACACATATACATACACAGTGTTTATATATATATTTTAAATTCCTCATTTTATTCTGGGGCCGTACGATGGAGTGCATGTTCTTGTGGCTGGCGTGATTATTTGCGCTCTGCGTCGCTATCTCGGCGCCGCAGAGCGCTCCGCGCTGGAATTAAGCCGGACTTCACTAAAGCTGACACTTGAGCGCGCGCGCGTGTACTTAGAGGGTCGGAGAAAGCTTTGCCGTTGATAAACTACCGCACACACCTCAAATATCGACACGCTTCTCCTCCCTCCCCAACTCACACCCACACACGCTCACGCACACCCTCACAAACTGTCAAGCACAGACCGACAGGCAACACGATCACTCCTGCGCACTCTTACAACGGCCACACGCAAGCTAACACGCACACACTCCATCCACACAAAGTAACTCGCCCAAAACGCCCTGTCACACACAAACTTGTTATTTTCCATTTCTTCTCTGCTGCCGATCGGACCGGCGGCGTCGTGCGTTGTTCCGGTCAAGTCATGCCACTAACGTGAGCGACGCCGTTTTCAGCGCCTGAAGGAGTTGAAGCAGCGCGAGTTCCACCGGGCGGCGGCCTGCCGGAGGCAAAGGGAGGAGCGCCGGGACGAGCGGCGGCTGCGGAAGAGGCTGCGGCATCGGTCGCAGCGTGAGGACAAAGCCGACGAGCGCCGGTGAGCGAGACGCTTGAAAACAACTTTGGGCCAACTTGCGCTCGCGACCGGGGCCTTTTGCAATTCCCCAATGGAAAGAAGAGGCTGAAAACAGTCCTAAAATACACAACGTTGTATACGTGAACATTTTTTAGGATTCATTGATTTAGTTCAACAACAAATTGAGATGAGAGTGACATTTTAGAGGTGGCACGGCGGACGGCCGGTCAGCACGTCTGCCTCGCCGCGCAGAGGTGCGAGGTTCGATTTGGAGGCCGCGGTGGGGTTTGCACGTTTTCCTCAGCCGTGTGAGGCGGTCGTGCTCACCGCCAGCGCTTACGTGCGGTCAAAGAAAGAGGAGAAAGGCGGGTTTCAGCACGGCCCTGCCAGGATGCGAGCCGCCGCCGCCGCAGAGCCAGAGAAGAGCCGCGCGTGACCAAATTGATTTCCAGCTTTCGCCCTCTTTCTCATCCCCCCCCTCCCCTTTCCCGTTAGCGCCTTGGGTTCGGGCCCCATGTTCCGCTCCACCACCGTGGCGGTGGAGCCGGCGAGCGCCACGGAGAAGGGGAGCGCCGACGGCAGCCACGGCGTGGGCGCTCCGTTGCCAGGTAAGAGCTCCCACAAGACTTGATGAAGGCCGTCGAGGCGTCACGTGATCAAACGCGACCCGATCAGCTCAAGGCACGCGTGGTGTCCCTTTTTCCATCGTCGGTGACACTTGAACCTTGCGTTTCGTGACGAATCCTTTGCAATTCTGTCTGCAACTGAAATGTCCAAACTCCAACGCGGGAAATCGTGTTCTCCAAGCCCCCCAAATTTCAGGCCAGGCTGCCATTTGGACCACTCCACAAGTCACGGCCTCTCGGTCCGCTCCAAAGTCCGTCCTTCCGAATGAACGTTTGCCAGTCTGGCAAGAATTTCGCCACAATTTCTTTGGCCTCGTCGCGGCTCATTTCGTGAAACGTGCCTCACCGTCCGTTCCCCCGCGTATGTACGCAACTTACTGAAAACATTCAGAGTGAACGTGCATCCATTTCGGGAGATGACTGGCCAAGCTGTTTTTGCGGGGAGGGACGATGACAACAGAGCACATGTACAAACATTTCTACGGGTAAAATGTGAAAAACGGAATCCTCATCCATACGTGCCTGTTTTGGGAATGCGATTTGCGATCGAGGGCTGAGACTTGATTTGAACGTGGGAGGAGCCAGGCCGGCCCCATTTGAGCAAATTCCAGGCCTCTCACTTTGACAAATTCCTGCTCGGGAATTGGCCCAAACGAGCGAGCGCTCGCAAGCGGGCATAACAACACGGATGAGCGCCGCTAAACTGCTTAGAAATGTCACCTACGGCACGTCACGCGCAAGATGCTGTCAAACTTTGATCATCGCCGTGAGAAAGAGTGTGCGGGGGGGGCGGCGCTTCTTCATGAGGCCTGCCGCTTTCATTCTTGTCGTCATCGGGGTTGAGGCAGCGAGCGGCCAGCAATCGATTTCGACGAAGCTTCCGGTCGCACTCTTGCCGATGGAGCCTTTCCAACTCCTGTGCTGAATCTGAATGTGCTGAAACTGGGCACCAAATGACGTGACCGCGAGATGAACAGCGAGATTGTTTTGTTCCCGTTTGCGGGGGGGGGGGGGGAGGGGGGGGGGGGTCTCTGAATCGGCCAATAACGAAAGTAAATGAAGTGGCTGTTTCAAAGAAAGGCTCGGCATGGAGACTTTGGTTTTCATTTTTCCCCAATGGCTGCAAATGTTTGTTTTATACAATTGCACTCACAAGGGGGGGGGGGGGGGGTGGGGGGGGGGGGGTGAGGGCGTGTGCGTGTGTGTGTGTGTGTGTGTGTGTGTGAGAGGAGGCTCGGGAGGAGGAAAAAGAAGATTTAGGAGGAGGTTTGGAAATGGGAGGTGAAGGGCGGCGCTTAAGACGCGATTTCGGTGGAGGAGGAATTCCAGGAGGAGGAGGGAAAGGCTCAGGGGGGACAGAATAAAGTTGGCAGTTAGACAATTTGAAGTAGGGGGAGAAAGAAGAAGTTGAGAAGGAGGAAGGAAGAGGTTTGGGAAGAAGAAGGAAAGTTGGCGGAGGAGGTCGTCTCGGAAGAAATTGAGCTTTAGGTGGAGGCTTAGAAGGAGCTTGAGGAGGAGCGCTCTGCGAGAACGAAAAGGAGGAGTAGAAGGACAACGAGGGTCAGGAAGAAAAAAAATGGAGGAGGAGCAGTAGAATGTTGAAGGGAGAGCTGGAGGACAGAGAGAAGGAGTGCGGGAGGAGGAGGAAGCCGCGGATGAGGGGAGTGGCTTTGAAGCGCGCCAAGCGCGCAGCAGGCTAACAAACGTCTGGCCCGTCGCTGACGATGGCGCAAAACGCATCCGCAGAAATGGATCTTGTTAGGAAAATGAAAGGCACTTTCAAGTAAGCCTCACATTCATCAGAGCGCTTATTTCTTCTCAAATGCCTCCCGCGCTCCCAAATCACATTGGGAGGAGTTTGGAGCGACCAAAGTGAAGCCCGGCAGCCACGTTGCTCGATCCTCGGGCCTGAAATCAAATCCTCCCTCCTCTCATCTTTTTGGTTTGACTCATTGCGCCTTTTTCGGGGAGATGTCAACGTAAGCTCTCTCTTGTCTCGTTCTTCTTCTCCCTCGCAGATCCTCAGAACTCACCGCGTCTCCCTCCGGATGCCGCGCCTGGAAGCAACGCAAACACCGTCACGCCGGGCGACATCACCCCCAAAAATGGCGCCGCCGGCCGAAGCGGCGCCTTTCGCAAGCTCCCTTGGGCGACCAGTTTCTTCAGCGACGCCATGAGAGCCAACAACAACAACAACAACAACGACGAGCCCGCTAACAGTGAAAACAAAGCCTCCGTCGCCAACAGGGGGCGCCCTGTTTGCTTCTCGCTGCCAAAGAGGAGCTGCGTTCTCCTGCACCGGGCGGCCGCCGTCTTTATCCAAGCTGGGCGGAGCTCGCGCGACAGCGAAACGGCAACGCGGGATGAGAAGCAGATCTCCTCGACGCCGCGCGTCCGCGCTCGGACCCGAGAGCTGGATGACAAGATGAAAGGCATCCTGTCTTTATGCGAGCAGCGCCGTGGGACCGGAGCCCAAGTACGCGCGGGAGGTGGGACAGCAGCCCAAGATGGAAGCGGGAGTCGGCTCGCAGCCCAAGTGAGTGGCGGACGTGGAAATCAAGACGTCCAAGTGATTGATGGCCGGCTTACTGGAGCTCAAAGTTCTACGGGAGACCAAATCAAGGCAGGAGGTATGACGAGAGCCCAGAACAGTTGTCAAAGTCTAACCGTCCAGTTAACCGGGGGGAGTGGGACTTGGGCTGAAGATGGAAGTAGAACTGATGCTCCAAACGCTGGTGAGTGTGGGCCAGGAGCTCGTACCGGAGCCCCGAGCTGTGGTCAAACCGCCCCTGAAGTCGAGGTCACCCGAGGTAGTGATGGAAGCAGGACCGGAGTCCAACTTGCGGGTCCGAGTGCTACGACAGGTGCCCACTTGACCGGCGCCCGGGACCTCGGCGGAACGGGAGCTGTGCTGTTTGGTGGGCTCGGCGCAAGAGTCGTCCAAGAGAGCGGCGGCATCAGGACTGGAGCTCCAGGTACTTGGCAAAGTGGGGCAGCGGTTGAAATCATGCTAAGGTGCGTCGCTCGAGATCAAGATGGAGCCCGAGTCGCCGTTGGTAGTGCGACTGGAGATGAAGGTTCCCGCCAAAATGAGACAGGAACCCAAAAGGGAGGTGGACGCAGGACTGGAACCGGTGCCGAGAATGGAATGGAAAGCCTCAGAAGTGGAACTGGGAGCCAACCAACGCACGGAGGCGAGACTGCCGCCGGTCATCGCGTGACCGGTGGGGATCCACCGCCATCGCTGCCTTTGAAGTGTCAAAGTCCCGGCTTTGAAACCTCGTCGGACAAAACTGACTTGGCTGAACTGCGACCTTTTTCCACCCTCGCCGAGCTCCAAAAAGCAAAACCCGAGAACCAAGCCCAAGATTTGAGTCCGAAACAAACCCCGACATCGCCTCCGGGTCGGCCCTCGGAACCCTTTTGTCCCGTCCTCAGCCGCGACGGCAGCCGCGTCCTGCTGTGGCCATCGGAGATGGTCCGCCGCACCCGGACGTCGCCCTCGCTCTCCTACGGCGTCAACCCGCTGCTGTACGACTTCCGAGCGCACGCGCGCGGCCGCGGGCAAGCGGCGGGCGGGATCAAGTCGGCGGTGATCAAACGAGCCGGCTGCCAACGGAAGCGGCAAAGCGGCGGCGGGGGAGGCGGCGAGGTGAAGTCGGATGAAAGCCGGGATGAGAATCGAGGAGGACAGGCGGGAAATCCCCTGCAAGCGGCGGACCGAGGCAAAGAGGGGCGCGCACATCCACA